TCAATGCGACTCAGCGCCTGCTATGCCTCTGCGCGGCACAAGCAGCCGGCTGGGCAGGCCTGGGCAACTACAGTAAGTTTGCATGAGCTATCTGAGTCATGCGACGGATGGCTCGAGAAATGCAACAGGGATCCTTTCATTCTACACCTGAACATTGCCTTGTAAATGGTGGTGTCCCTTCATTTTGGTGGAAAAAGCCATGTTTCAAATGGGCAAAATGTATCTTTTAAGGAGCCCTGTGCAACTTGCCACCAATTCTGTCAGGGCGGAAGGGCCTCACAGTCGAGGCCACGGCGGGTCAAGGCTCGCCGCAGGCTCACCGACATGACCTGCCCAGCAAATGCAAGTGAAATTCTTCGGGATCGGGGATGGATGATCGCTTGTGTAATCAATCCAGCTGGCACATGGCTTGAAAATCTATCTGTGTCTTCACCATTGACATCACAGCGACCAACCTTCAGAGCGACCAAAAGTGTGCCAGGAAAATGGGAGCTTTGACGCCATTTCGCTGTGAAGCCTGGCCTGAGTGCCCCTGCCCGAGTGGCCCCAACTGGCCAGCGCAAGGGAAGCGATTCTGCTTTGCTGAGAGCCACGTGCAGTTGCGTACTCGTCGTCTCGAACTGCTCGTCCCCTCCCATCTCAAGCAACAAAAATCGGCAGTCGCAGGCAAACATGCTTTGGTGCAACACTCGCACATTGAGGCACTAGTGGGGCGACAACCCCTATGCAACACTCGCACAATGACAGCAACAGTCATGGCAACAGCGCTTCACTTGGTGCGGCAGCCAACCTCCGCAATCGCAGCGAGCAGGTTCCTCAGTGCCAGTGCGGTCAAACAGCTGAATACCCTTCATCACAAAGCACTGTTCGATGTGCAACTCGATTGGTCATGCTGGGAAAAGAAGATATCAGCATGTTAACCAAGCAGAGGCGCAAGTTCTTCGATGACACCTGGGCAATTCATTGCGGGTCAAAGCGATCGGCCAAGCTCTCCTCGGATCGGCGGCCGCACGCGCTGTCTTGAAAAAGCTGGGGGACCCAGAGATGGGCTGCGATGGGGGTTTGTCCGGATCAACATGGATGACTGAAACTCAGGCCTTGCCCTGCTCGTGCTCCAAGTCCAAGTAGCCTCAGCTATTCAGAAATGTTGAAGCTTAGCTCGCCGAAATCCATGGGCTTGCGATTGGTAGCAATAGTTCCGCATGCCAAGCTCTTCGCGCCGAGCCTCAAACCCCCCCCCCCCTGCCCTGCCAACTTCAAGCAGGCAGCCGACCCGCGGCGCAAAAGGATGGCCCAGCTTCTGCAAAGCTTGGTAGAGCGGCCAGTACATCTCCTCCAACAGCCAAAAGAAGGCACATGCCACATGCCCGACCTCCACCTCCGTGCTGGTCAACCCTGCCGAACTGAAGACAAACCTGACGAATGGTTGTTCTCTCCTCCGCCAGGACTGGTAGAGCCCCTTGCGAGCCCAAGGTCACGAAGTAGCCTGCCAGGTTCGGCTGAAAGCTCTGTGCAATACGCGCCACAATGTCAGCTGTCAACCGAACCTACCTAATCTAGCATGCATGGTCCGTCAGGTGCTAGGGAGTGCCAACTAGTCGCCGTTTCAAGCTCCACCATTTCGTGAGATAGAATCTAAGCGATTGTGCTGACAATGTTGTGCTTAGAGGTGGCCGTGGCTGTTGCGGCGGCCGTGGCTGCTGCGGCAGTGGCTGTTGCGGCAGTGGCTGTTGCGGCCGTGGCTGCTGCGGCAGTGGCTGTTGCGGCAGTGGATGTTGCGGCCGTGGCTGTTGCGGCCGTGGCTGTTGCGGCAGTGGCTGTTGCGGCAGTGGCTGTTGCGGCAGTGGCTGTTGCGGCAGTGGCTGTTGCGGCAGTGGCTGTTGCGGCAGTGGCTGTTGCGGCAGTGGCTGTTGCGGCGGGGCTGTTGCGGCGATGCTGGCTGTGGCTGTGGCGGTGGCTATGGCTGTTGCTGTTGTCCAAGTGGGCAGAACACGGACCCTGGTTTGGCTTGCAAGGCGATCACGGTTGGAGAAATCGCGGCCTGATCTCAAATTGAATGAGCTCATGAACCAATGAGTGCTTGGCCGCAAGGTCATCTCTTCTGGAACCTGGTTCATCTAAGATGTAAAAGTAAGCGTGGATTTTTTTAAGGTAGCCGCCTTTCAGCACATGAGCCACGTTGAAAATATGCATTGCCATAAAGGGACATGGAACATTGGTTAGTCCCCTCGTTGTTGGATATCTAGTGACTTGCCCCAAGTCCCTCAAAAATGAGGGAGAAGGACTACTGGATATGCTCGCCAAATCTCATGAAATAGATTTCGGGACTGCGTATTGGGAAGGCAGGTCCCGACCAAAGTAGCTAGTGCTCACATGATAAATGAGCAGTACCGGATACATTTTGGCCATCGCATCATTGCTGATGCTATCCTTGTGATTTCTTTGATTCAGTGTGGTGCTTGTGCAACAGAAAAAGAGAGAAGACGTCGATGAGTTTTATGCATGGGGCATCTTGCTTGATGAAGTACGACAACAAGAAGCAACAACTTGCAGTTACAAATGTCAATGAATGTTGCATCGTTGCAAAACGCAGCAAGAAACACACATACTGCATATCGTACAAGTTAAGCGTTGTTTCTTGTATACAAACGGCTACTCTCTGTATGCCAGCCCTATTGATGAGTTCAATTGTATGTAACTGTTGTTTCCGAAGTACGAAGCATGCCGACCAAACAATACGTGCATACATGCATCTACCCAGTCCCACATAAAAGGTTGGTCAAATGTACATTAATAAATGCTGTCACTGAAATGGAGCTGTCTACTTGTGTTTACGTCCATTTGTCGTTGACTTTGATTCATGCAGCAGGCAGCAGGCGCATGAGGAACCTGCGTTGAAGGAGCCTTCCTCGATCGCATGCGGGTTCTCCTCCTGCACAGCCGTTGTGGCTGACAGTCTGCCACTTGGGTACACCCAGTGACATAAGCAACAGGATCCGGTGCAAACCAGTGACTGGTGTTGCTTAACCAGTCACACAAATCCCATAGAATCCTTTGTTCTACCAATTTCAGCGGCTCCTCCATAACCCACAAGCCGGCGCCGCCGCCAGTGCCCACCAGGCATTCTAGGAATGCCCTCACCTCGCCGACATGGACAAACCAGGTGCTGGCAATTGCATCTTGGGCATCTTGGGAAGCGGCTGTCTGGGGCGTTTCACCAAGGCCTTGCAGGGGCAAGCGCGCCCACTGCTTCTCCAACACCAGGAGATCCGGCGCGCTGGTGGATGGACAAAATCCATTTCGCACCACCTGAAAACCATGGAAAAACCATTATTTGTTGGCATGTACAGCACAATCACCAGAAACCAGGGTCTCTGAACGGTGCTGCGATTTCTGGATTTCGCAACCATCCACATGTCCGGGCCAATCCAACCAATGGAATGGCAAAAACCGACTCGCGCGAGGCCGCCGTTTCACCGCCTCCAGGCACCCGGTAAGCCGTTGCTAGCACCGGCACCCGCTGCTCCGCCCAGTGCCTGGCCGTTCTGAGCCAAGCTGCAAGAAGTCAAAGCATGGCGCCTTGTCCATATGGGTTTGGTCTCAAAAACGAAAACCCTCGAAAGTGGCTGGTTCCCTTTTTGTTTCCTTTTGAAACCATCACAAAAAGCGATCGAGTAGACGACAGAATCAAGCCTGGCAGTGCACCCAAAAGGCATAGGTCTCAAATCATTCCCCAACTATGGAACAATGCTTGACACGACACAGCTCAAGACAAGCATGATATCAGCATACCGCAAGATCGGCATGCCTCAGGCAAGAGTACCAAGCGAAGTAGTGCACGTCAAAGCCTTGTGGAATGGCAAAGTGACTGGTGGTTGAGAAACAGCGCTGTTTTCAGCTTGCCATAGCACTAGACAGGTCCATGCACATCTCACCTGGATGGAAGAGCACCACGAGCTGCGGCGGAGGCAGATCCTAGCAAAACTCACGCCACTTGCGAGGCCAATTTGGGTTTTGGGCCCCTCGTGTAAAAGCGCGCCAGCTCAGAAGAAGCCTTTGTTGCCGGCTTCGGTGGCAGATCCGAGAGCCAAGAGCTCCTCCTGGCAGGCCATGAAGCGCTGGTAGGTCTGGGGGAAGACGGACCTCGGTGCACATCAAACTGCTGCCCCGCTGGTCCGAACGCCAATTTTCTGGGCATCAAAATCAACCGGTGCGCGCCGTCTGCGCACAGGAGCACACGGCACAGCCGAATGGCTCATCCGTCCAGAAAAAAAAAATCCAAGAAAAGCCGGCAAGCAAGGCCAACTGGAGAAGGCAGCCGAAGAGCAGGCTGCCCCTTCCTTCAACCCTGCCAGGCCATGGAACACAAGTGGCTAAGATCAAGTTCAAAGGCTCCAAGCTCAACCCTGCGACCCACAAGGCCCCAGTCTCGTAAGGCGTGGACACCTCCAGGTCAGCCCGCAGCTCTGGCCCCAGCAGCTCCTGTACTCAGAATCCGATCGAGGGGATTGGCCGAAGAAGAAAAAGGAAGCCTGGAACTTTCTAGATTTACGGTGGTTTTCTGTTTCGCGGAATTGTTTTCCAGTTTTTTGGTGTATTTTTTCCAGTTTCTTTTTCTAGACACTTGCACTGCAGATCTTCTCCGCCTTCTTCTGGATCACCCCAGGTCACAACAGCCCCAGATTCAAGAATGGCAGCAAAAGCACCGCCGCTTGATTGGATGCGCTTGACGCTTTTCAGCTGCTCCTGCACCTGGCTGCTGTCTCTGCCCCAGTCTGCCCAACCCCAGGTCACAACAGCCCCAGATTCAAGAATGGCAGCAAAAAGCACCACCGGTAGTTGCTTAGATGCGCTTGAGGTTCTTCAGCTGCTCTTGCACCTGGCTGCTGTCTCCGCCATACTCTGGATCGCCCCACGTGACAACATCCCCAGATTCAAGAATGGCCGCAAAAGCACTGCAAGTTGCTTGGATGCGCTTGACGTTCTGGAGCTGCTCTTGCACCTGGCTGCTGTCTCCGCCATCTTCTGGAACGCCCCAGGTGACAACAGCCCCAGACTCAAGAATGACAGCAAACGCACACTCAGCTGCTTGGATGCACTGGACGTCTCTCAGCTGCTCTTGCACCCAGCTGCTGTCTCCGTCTTCTTCTGGATCACCCCAGGTCACAACAGCCCCAGATGCAAGAATGACAGCAAAAGCACGCTCAGCTGTGTGAATGCGCTGGACATTCCTCAGCTTCTCTTGCACTTTGCAGCTGTCTCCTCCCATGTCTGAACGACCCCAGGTGACAACCTCGCCTCCGTGGACGTGCCAAACAAATGCCTTGTAGGTGGCTGCCAATGTGCCCGGCTGTGCAACCGCGTCCACCACATCCCCATCTCGCAACCCGGCGTCACTCAGCGCGGCTGTCAAGTCGAGCAAGTTGGTCTGTGCAAGTTGCTCTGCGCCAGTTGCTCCGTGCAAGCGCTTTGCGCATGTGCTCTGTGCAAGTTGGTCTGTGCAAGTTGCTCTGCGCAAGTGCTTTGTGCAATTGCTCTGTGCAAGTTGCTCTGCGCAAGTTGCTCTGCGCAAGTGACTCTGCGCAAGTTGCTCTGCGCAAGTGCTGCCGGAGCTGTGGGAATGTACTTCGCATACTATGTTTGTACTTAAAAGTTGCGATTTTCCAGCCGGAGCTGCGGGGGTGTGCTCCGCGTACTACGTTTGTACTTAAAAGTTGCGCGGGAGCACGCTCCGCATACTACGTCTGTACTTAAAAGTTGCGATTTTCCAGCCGGAGCTGCAGGAGTACGGTCCGCGTACTACGTTGCGATTTTCAAGCCGGAGCTGCGGGGGTGTGCTCCGCGTACTACGTTTGTACTTAAAAGTTGCGATTTTCCAGCCTGAGCTGCGGGAGCACGCTCCGCATACTACGTCTGTACTTAAAAGTTGCGATTTTCCAGCCGGAGCTGCAGGAGCACGCTCCGCGTACTACGTTTGTACTTAAAAGCTGCGATTTTCAAGCCGGAGCTGCCGCGGACCAGGGGGGAATCGAACCCGCGACCGCGGGATTGCGAAAGCAGGCGCGCAAACCACGAGACAACTTCCAAAGGCCGTTTCGCGAGCAAGAAAATTGCACGGCGCCACAGCGAGAGCGCTGCGACACGCACAATCTCCGCAGAGGGTTCGCCGAGACTAAATTCGCACGGCGCCACAGCGAGAGCGCTTCGACGCGCACGATCTCCGCAGAGGGTCGCGCGCGGACCGCAGAAATCGTAAAAAGTCCTCAGTTTTTGAACCTCGACCACGCGAATCTCCGCAGAGGGTCGCGCACGCATGCTAAAAATCGTAAAAAGTCCTCAGTTTTTTAACCTCGACCACGCGAATCTCCGCACAGGGTCGCGCGCGCATGCTAAAAATCGTAAAAAGTCCTCAGTTTTTTAACCTTGACCACGCGAATCTCCGCAGAGGGTCGCGCGCGGCCAGCAGAAATCGCAAAAAGTCCTCAGTTTTTGAACCTCGGCCACGCGAATGTCCGCAGAGTCGCGCGCGCACCGCAGAAATCGTAAAAAGTCTCAGTTTTTGAACCTCGGCCACGCGAATGTCCGCAGAGTCGCGCGCGCACCGCAGAAATCGTAAAAAGTCTCAGTTTTTTGACCTCGACCACGCGAATCTCCGCAGAGGGTCGCAATCCCGAGCGACGATCAAACTCCCGCCCCGGCGCCTTAGAAACCTAAACTAACTTACATAGCTGCTAACGCCGAAGCTCTACGCAAGCTCTACCTAACCTTGGCTCTGTGCCACCTGGCTCTGTGTCACTTGGCTCTGTGCCACTTGGCTCTATGTAACTTGGCTCTATGTAACTTGGCTCTATGTAACTTAACTTGGCTCTATGTAACTTGGCTCTATGTAACTTGGCTCTATGTAACTTGGCTCTATGTACTTGGCTCTATGTAACTTGGCTCTATGTAACTTGGCTCTATGTAACTTGGCTCTATGTAACTTGGCTCTATGTAACTTGGCTCTATGTAACTTGGCTCTATGTAACTTGGCTCTATGTAACTTGGCTCTCTATGTAACTTGGCTCTATGTAACTTGGCTCTATGTAACTTGGCTCTATGTAACTTGGCTCTATGTAACTTGGCTCTATGTAACTTGGCTCTATGTAACTTGGCTCTATGTAACTTGGCTCTATGTAACTTGGCTCTATGTAACTTGGCTCTATGTAACTTGGCTCTATGTAACTTGGCTCTATGTAACTTGGCTCTATGTAACTTGGCTCTATGTAACTTGGCTCTATGTAACTTGGCTCTATGTAACTTGGCTCTATGTAACTTGGCTCTATGTAACTTGGCTCTGTGCAACTTGGCTCTGTGCAACTTGGCTCTGTATGTAACTTGTCCAAGGGCTCCGCACGGAAGAACCCTTCGCGATGCTTTCGGGGAACAAATGTTTGCTTGCATGCCTGCTTGCTTGCTTGCTTGCTGGCTTGCTTCCTTGTTTGCTTGCTTGCTTGCTTGCTTGCATGCTTGTCTGCTTGCTTCAAACAAAATGTTGGCTTGCATGCTTGCTTGCTTGCTTGCTTGCTTGCTTGCTTGCTTGCTTGCTTGCTGGCTTGCTTCCTTGTTTGCTTGCTCGCTTGCATGCTTGCTTGCTTGCTTTGCTTGCTTGCTTGCCTGTTTGCATGCTTGCTTGCTTGCTTGCTTGCTTGGTGGCTGGCTTGCTTCCTTGTTTGCTTGCTTGCTTGCATGCTTGCTTGCTTGCTTTGCTTGCTTGCTTGCCTGTTTGCATGCTTGCTTGCTTGCTTGCTTGCTGGCTGGCTTACTTCTGCGTTTGCTTGCTTGCTTGCTTGCTTGCTTGCGTGCTTGGTTGCCAACTTGCTCCAAATGCTTGCTTGCTGGCTTGCTGGCTTGCTGGCAAGCTTGCTTGCTTCCTTGCTTTGCCTACTTGCTTGCTTGCTTGCTAGCAAGCCCTCGGTTACGGCTAACCCCTTGCTTGCTTCCTTGCTGGTCTAACTAGAAAAAAATACGCCGAAAAACCGGAAAACAATTCCCCAGAAAATAGGGGAGCCTAGATTTACCACCAAAATGGCCACCAAACCCAAAAAGCGACTAAGTCCATACTAAAGTCCATGAACCCTGGAAGTGAGGCTATGAATCTTCAATTGGGGGCCCTTTGCTGGACATCAAACTTTCGGGGAGAAACATGTCCACAAACCACTTAGAGTTGGTGGTGCTCAATGAAATTTCACAGCCTGGAATTGCCTAATGCCCAGATGGAGGCAAAAATGCCGACGGTGACATGTCCCCGGTGGGCAGGTTGGTCTCCCTCGACAGAGGAGCAACCCTATTCTTGCATCAGATTTTCGTCGCTCGTGCCACACCCATCATCCGGGTGGCCATCCGAATGCAGAGATCTCGCTCCTCGCTGGGCTCCTTTCCCGCGCCCACGGCATGCGGGCCCACCTCAGCGAGAAAGGCGGGCGAGATGGCGGTCCGTGGCAACCTGGCAATTGGAAGCTACCCAAGGGATGGGCCAGCAAGGAAAAACCCAAGATCGCATTTCAAAGGCGCGGAAGATTTCAGGGCGATCAACCAGCGAGTTCTTGACACCAAAGAGCAGCAATACGCCAGTGTTTGAGATCAACAGAGGTGAAATTTGCAGACGGTGGGCGGCCAAGAAGCAGACCCGTATACCGTATACCTCTTCCCTTCTTTCTGTGGCTGGGCAGCAGTCCGGGCCGCAGTCCGCTCTGTCACAGCTGTCACTTGTCAGGGCCATGGTACAGCTGTGCGGAAGGAAGCAGGGAAGATCTCTTGGCCGGGTAGCTGTCAAAAAAGAAGAAAAAAATGGAGGCCAGGTATCTTGCCAGCGGCTAAGGAACAGTAGAACAAAGTCACCCTTTTGTCGATCGGATCTGGGGCCAACGGCGATCCTAGGACCGAAGCCCGCGCCAACACGCAAGCCCAAGCGCTCCCAGAACCCCCACCGCCAAAGGGCCAGCACCACCCGCGCTTTGGCAGGCAGCGCCGAGGCGAGCACCTGGTGCAAGAACCAATGAGCCGAAGGAATGATCGACGGCACTGCTTGTGATTTCTTGGGGAAGGCTTGCAACGCGGGGCTGAAAAAAATATGTGGGTGCGGCTCAAGATTAAAGAACTAGGGTTACGCAGGTGTTAGTCTTTGGTTCCATTTACCAAGGTGCCATTCTGGTACATTTATTTGAGCCACAGCCATGTGTCTCTGCGTAGCCTGACTCTTTTGGAGGATGACTATGTGTGTGTGTGCGTTGTTAACCTGCGCGATTTACTCTCTTTCGCTGTCTGTTTGACCCAAGCACGTGCCCATTCGAAGGTTCATGACAGACCGTGCCTCGAAGTCCATGGAACGCTCCGCGTCACCGGCGCCCACGATGTGCAGCACCTGGCCGCCCAGAAGGCATCTGACTTGCCGCTCTTGACGCATTGCCACGGGTCACAGGGAAGTGAATGTCAACTGCAACCCAATAAGGATGGGTCGTGCAAGCACTCGCGAGCTTGAGACAAGATCCCAGGTGTCATCTGCACATATATATATATATATCAATGTATATATATATATATACACAGTAGTAGTGACCGGGGGAGTCGCAAAGTCAGTCAAATGCGGGCTCATGCGAGGGCATCTGGTAAATAAGTCCACTCTAAAGCAGCAAAAGGAACCGCAAAAGCCGGTATGCTTTATCTCAAGAGCTTCATGGGGTGGCAGCAAACAAATCTTCTTGGGGCCTCCCAAATCACACAAAACTTGGGACCCAAAGCAAAAGGGACCAGGCGCTTGGGTGTAAGGTTTCATCAACCGCTTTTTTTGGAGAACTCCACGGCCCAAGTGTCTTCACCGCAGCGCGACTCAACTCCTCTGTGCTGAAACCACCTCTTGCTTCCCCCAAGCTATAACAGGCTGTATAAGAGAGGTGAAATCTTCGGAGAAACCGCAAAAAAGAATGAAAACAGCCGTCAAGTACAGAACGAAACATGACTGTGGGCTTTGTAGCCAAATCACGGACTCAGACAACGAAACAGGTGTTGGTCGCAAAAGAAACTACCTGGGCATTGCCTGTGGATGTTTGAAAAAGACGAATTATCATGAAGGAAGATGTAGCACCAGTCATTTCCGAAGTCTTCGGCTCTTAGCCTCCCCAATCAAAGCTCGGGTGCCAACAAAGGAACTGCTCACAAGAGCCTGTACCGAAACGACCGGGGCGAAAAATCTGGAAGGCTTTGGGTTGCAACCCCGCCTCCGGCCGCAGCTGGGTATCCTCCAGCGCTGCCTTGATGGTGGCAGCACACGAGCTGCCGCGCGCCTCCAGGAAAAAAAGGTACGAAAACCCACATCGGTGCGCCTCTCCATGGGCAAGAGACCAACCTGCCCGAAACTCAACGCAGGGCGACTGACACCAAATCCCAAGGTATCCACAGGAAAAGAAAAAAAACAAACAACAAAAAAAAAAAAAAAAACGGGGGAAGAGCACTGGGCCAGCCATGTCTCAGGCGACTCCAAGACCAGTTCTGTACCCTTTTCTCAGCCGCCCCGCGCTGCGAGGCAGCATCAGCTCCTGTGCACCCACCCTTCTCGACATGGACCTAGGAGACCTTCAGTGGAGAGGTTAGAACAAGGGTACCCTTTTTTCTGCAGTCTATTTTAGTAGGGGAACCCTCCCAACCAAAAAAAGGGACCGAAAGGGTTTCGCTTCCTTTCTGGGCTTGCATCAGGTTCCAGGCAAAGAGCGGAGAAGCACTCTCTGAGTCGAGTCGAAACCCGTCGCTTTCACACCAAGAGCCCGCAACCCCGTCCGTGGCTCGATTAATAGAAGCTCTTGAAGTGCTGGAAATTAAGATTCTCTGTTTGGGCGTTGACATATTGTACCCTTGAGCAACGAGGCTAAAACGGATGATGGAAGAGGGTCTTCTAATCATGCAATATCCGGCAAACTGCAAAACTCACAATTTGGAGCTTTTGCACATGAAAACAACAACCTGACAAAATGCTTGTGTTGAGTAGACACAGTGAATCCGTGCTGGCAGCTTCACTCCCAGCCCTCCTTGCGCGACGACATTGCGCAGCCGGTCGCCCATAGCTTGTCTAAAGCTCGTCTTGTCCATAGCCACGAGGCTTTACTCTTACTCGGCTGCGTCAGAAGTCATCTGCCATCGTCACCCACACTATGGGTTCCATTAAACGGCATTTCGGATTCCTCTACAAAACTCGGTTGCGTTTTGCTCCCCTGCCAAAAGATTAACAATTAGCGGTTTAATGGAAAACCCACTAGTTGGCAAAAAGTCAAAGTCCTAACATCCCTTGGCAAAATGCACCTCTGAAAAGCAGGGCTGCGAGATCTGCTTGCTCGAAGCACATGCCTTTGCTTAGGATGGACAGTCGCCGATTGGCCATGCCCCAAACGACTCAAAGGGGCGACCGGACTGCAAGCGCTGCACGGTCGCCGGGCCTTTCTCTTTCAAGGGATGAACTGTCTCCGCGGAAACCCTCCTTCCTTTTGGAGAGGATGGCAGCTCCTATGATAGAGAGGTGGGGAGAAAGAGGCATAGTGTGGTGGTAGAGAAAGAGAGAGAGAGAGAGAGAGAGAGAAAGAGAGGCAGATGGAGGATGGGGAGGAGAGAGCGAGAGGGAGGAAAAAGGAGAAAGGGGAGGCCAATGTCGGCCGAGTGAGACGGAGGCATATTCTGGTCAGCCGGAAGGGCCACGGCTTTCAGCTCCTAGGCCAGCGTGGAACTGTCCATGTGCTTGCTCTGGATTGCCTTCTTAGCTCCAAAGCTCTTATCGATTTTTACACGCGGATCTGTCCCTACTAAGAGAGCCATGCCCGATGCATCCGTGCCCATGCCTGCCCACACCTTCCCAGTCCCACATTCATTCCGCGCCTCCTGCTGCCGGCGCGGCAACCTCGTCAAGCCACGGTGGTTGCCTGATCCTTTCCGATGTTCGTTCTCCGCAAGGCTCAAAAACAGAAATGTCCCACCAAAGCGGCAGATTGCTGGACTGAAATACTTAACAGCCCAGAGGTGATGGGTGACGTGTGAATGGGGCAACTGACTGTTGCGCCTGCTGCACTGGTGTGACCCGGCTGCCAGAACCTGGCAGGCCATCCCTTAGCAACCCTGTCAACACCCCATGCTGCGCCGTAAGGTGTGTCCCTCTCGTTCTCTTGCCCGCGCTCGAGCAAATAGGAGCACTGACCACAGGGACAGTTGACACAAATATGAACAACCGTCAATGAATTGCAGCACCATCTGGCATGGCAAAAAGCTTCATGAAAACAGGAACTTGAGTGCAACTCGTCTGCAAAATGTGGGAAAGGTATGGCAAAAAAGGTATGCGTTCTGCATCTATAATAGCCCCCATGCCTGCCCACACCTTCCCAGTCCCACGTTCAGTCCCCGCCTCCTGCTGCCGGCGCGGCAACCTCGTCAAGCCACGGTGGTCGAACTTGGTAAGCATTCCTAATCCAACAACAAGAGGCTCGAGACCTGCCTGATCCTATCCTATGTGCGTTCTCCGCAAGGCTCCAAAAAAGAAATGTCCCACCAAAGCGGCAGATTGCTGGACTGAAATACTTAACAGCCCAGAGGTGATGGGTGACCTGTGAATGGGGCAACTGACTGTTGCGCCTGCTGCACTGGTGTGACCCGGCTGCCAGAACCTGGCAGGCCATCCCTCCTCCAGCAACCCTGTCAACACCCCATGCTGCGCCGTAAGGTGTGAATGCTCCCTCTCGTTCTCTTGCCCGCGCTCGAGCAAATAGGAGCACTGCCCACAGGGACAGTTGACACAAATATGAACAATCGTCAATCAATTGCAGCACCATCTGGCATGGCAAAAAGCTTCATGAAAAAAGGAACTTGAGTGCAACTCGTCTGCAGAATGTGGGCAAGGTATGGGAATGGCCAGAAAGGTATGCCTTCTGCATCCGTCATGAGCCCATGCCTGCCCACATCTTCCCAGTCCCACGTTCAGTCCCCGCCTTCTGATGCCGGCGCGGCAACCTCGTGCATTCCAGCCGAACAACAACATGCTCAGGACCAACCAACCCCCACGTCGCCTGGCTCAAAAGAAGATCAACCATCTGAGAACCAGCTCAAATCAAACCCAGGGGACAAAATGGCTCAACCCCAGTTGCAAAAAAACAGTAGATGGCACGTCGGGTCGCGGGGTCGTTTATAAATAGTAGATGGCGCTGGTCTTCCTGAAAGCTGGAACGGAGCCATCTACTATTGACAAAAATCATGCGTTTCGAAAACCTGCGCCATCTACTTTTGACAGCCAAGAATTGGTTTGTTTCCTGGTCGTTGAATCGAAATCCTTTTTTCAGATGTCGAACTAAAAGGTCGTGGCATTCACCCCCCCCTTCAAGCATAAAGGGGTGCGGCACAACCTATCGACCCTGTCCTGACTGACCGACGCATTTGGCCTGTCCCCTCCAGCCCGGCAAAACAAAGGTGATGGCGCATTTTTTAAAGTAGTGGCATAAGTTGGGCACTGCTTGCAAGGGGTTGGTGATGGCAGAGGGGCGACGAAGGGGCTGGTGATGGCAGAGGGGCAGAGCTTAAATTGGGCGCTGTTGACAAAAAGTAGATGTTGGCAAAAGTAGCTGGCGCAACCTTGCTTGAGCCTTTGACCAGAGCTGAACCAGGGCTAGGGCCTCTGCCTTCGCCCGGAGCTGGCGCAGCCAGGGGTGAGCAAGGGGCTGGTGATGGCAGAGGGGCAAAACGAAGGTTGAGGGGCAGGTTGGCGCTGTTGATAAAAGTAGAGATGGCGCAATGCTCCTGAGTTTTTCGCCGGAGGTGGGGCCGATGGGCTGGGTGCGCAAGGCACTGGTGATGGCAGAAGGGCAGAGCGTAAGTTGGGCGCTGTTGACAAAAGTAGATGGCGCAACCCTCCTGAGCCTTCGGCCGGCGCTGGGCGGAGCCGGGGCGATGATCTGGGTGAGCGCAGGGCTGGTGATGGCAGAGGGGCAGAGCACAAGTTGGGCGCTGTTGACAAAAGTCGGCCGGCGCTGGGCGGAGCCGGGGCGATGAGCTGGGTGAGCGCAGGGCTGGTGATGGCAGAGGGGCAGAGCGTAAGTTGGGCACTGTTGACAAAAGTAGATGGCGCAACCCTCCTGAGCCTTCGGCCGGCGCTGGGCGGAGCCGGGGCGATGAGCTGGGTGAGCGCAAGGTTGGTGATGGCAGCAGGGGCAGAGCGTAAGTTGGGCGCTGTTGACAAAAGTAGATGGCGCCTCCTGAGCCTTCGGCCGGCGCTGGGCGGAGCCGGGGCGATGAGCTGGGTGAGCGCAGGGCTGGTGACGGCAGAGGGGCAGAGCGTAAGTTGGGCGCTGTTGACAAAAGTAGATGGCGCAACCCTCCTGAGCCTTCGGCCGGCGCTGGGCGGAGCCGGGGCGATGAGCTGGGTGAGCGCAAGGTTGGTGATGGCAGGAGGGGCAGAGCGTAAGTTGGGCGCTGTTGACAAAAGTAGATGGCGCAACCCTCCTGAGCCTTCGGCCGGCGCTGGGCGGAGCCGGGGCGATGAGCTGGGTGAGCGCAAGGTTGGTGATGGCAGAAAAGGCAGAGCGTAAGTTGGGCGCTGTTGACAAAAGTAGATGGCGCAACCCTCCTGAGCTTGCCGGCGCTGGGCGGACCGGGGCGTTGAGCTGGGTGAGCGCAGGGGCTGGTGAGGGCAGAGGGGGCAGAGCGTAAGTGGGGCTGTTGACAAAAGTAGATGGCGCCTCCTGATCCTTCGGCCGGCGCTGGGCGGATGCCGGGGCGATGAGGCTGGGTGAGCGCAGGGCTGGTGACGGCAGAAAGGCAGAGCGTAAGTTGGGCGCTGTTGACAAAAGTAGATGGCGCAACCCTCCTGAGCCTTCGGCGCCGGCGCTGGGCGGAGCCGGGGCGATGAGCTGGGTGAGCGCAAGGGCAGGTGATGGCAGAGGGGCAGCGCGTAAGTTGGGCGCTGTTGACAAGTTGGGCGCTGTTGAGATGGCGCAGAACCGCAGACAAAAGTAGATTGCGCCTCCTGAGCCTCGGCCGGCGCTGGGCGGAGCCGGGGCGATGAGCTGGGTGAGCGCAGGGCTGGTGATGGCAGAGGGGCAGAGCGTAAGTTGGGCGCTGTTGACAAAAGTAGATGGCGCAACCCTCCTGAGCCTTCGGCCGGCGCTGGGCGGAGCCGGGGCGATGAGCTGGGTGAGCGCAGGGTTGGTGATGGCAGAGGGGCAGAGCGTAAGTTGGGCGCTGTTGACAAAAGTAGATGGCGCCTCCTGAGCCTTCGGCCGGCGCTGGGCGGAGCCGGGGCGATGAGCTGGGTGAGCGCAGGGCTGGTGATGGCAGAGGGGCAGAGCGTAAGTTGGGCGCTGTTGACAAAAGTAGATGGGCAACCCTCCTGAGCCTTCGGCCGGCGTATGAGCTGGGTGAGCGCAGGGCTGGTGATGGCAGAGGGGCAGAGCGTAAGTTGGGCGCTCAAAAGTAGATGGCGCAACCCTCCTGAGCCTTCGGCCGGCGCTGGGCGGAGCCGGGGCGATGAGCTGGGTGAGCGCAGGGCTGGTGATGGCAGAGGGGCAGAGCGTAAGTTGGGCGCTGTTGACAAAAGTAGATGGCGCAACCCTCCTGAGCCTTCGGCCGGCGCTGGGCCGGAGCCGGGGGAGCCGGGGCGATAAAGGGGCTGGTGATGGCAGAGGGGCAGAGCGTAAGTTGGGCGCTGTTGACAAAAGTAGATGGCGCAACCCTCCTGAGCCTTCGGCCGGCGCTGGGCGGAGCCGGGGCGATGAGCTGGGTGAGCGCAGGGCTGGTGATGGCAGAGGGGCAGAGCGTAAGTTGGTGCGCTGTTGACAAAAGTAGATGGCGCAACCCTCCTGAGCCTTCGGCCGGCGCTGGGCCGGAGCCGGGGGAGCTGGGGCGATAAAGGGGCTGGTGATGGCAGAGGGGCAGAGCGTAAGTTGGGCGGTCCCCTCCTGCTCTGGCCCGAAAAAATGAGCAACTTTCATGTTGCCAGTACATGTATTTGTTGCAAAGTAAACTAGATTGCCAGTGATAGAAACAGTATCAGTACCAAAATTAGTATTGCCAATGCTAAGTTTAATGTTACGGGTACTTGATGTAACATGTATTAGATTTAGCATGCAAACACTAGCTTCAGTACTGCCGATACAAATTTATACAAATGTCTTACTGTTTGTGCCAGGCTTCATATTGTGCTATCTTTGCGTATGCCCCGCAAAGGCGGTCTACGGAAAGCTGGAAACGTTGAAAGTGCACGCGCGTTGCCAAGCGAATCCTCCGAGTACTCACTTCAAACAGCTAAAACCAAATCTAGTATTGCCAGGACTAAATGTAGTATTGTTTGTATCAAACTTAGTATTGCCAGCACCAACTTTGGTATTGCCCCTAAATTTAGTGTTGCCACCACTTAATTACATATTCGTACGAGAAAAAAAAGTCCTTGGCCACAACCACCCAAGCCGGGTGTTCAGAAAACCAAAAAAGAGTTGTGCCATCTACTCTGGCCAGAACATGTCCGATAATTTTGCGATAATTGATAATCTCCGTTTGTCAATAGTAGATGGCACTCCCCCCCAATTTTTTGAGCCATCTACTCTCAAATCAGAGAAAGGGGAGGCCAATGTCGGCGGAGTGAGACGGAGGCATATTCTGGTCAGCCGGAAGTTTGACGCGCCTGCGCTGGGCCACGGCTTTCAGATCCTAGGCCAGCGTGGAACTGTCCATGTGCTTGCTCTGGATTGCCTTCTTAGCTCCAAAGCTCTTACCGATTTTTACACGCGGATCCGTCCCTACTAAGAGAGCCATGCCCGATGCATCCGTGCCCATGCCTGCCCACACCTTCCCAGTCCCACATTCATTCCGCGCCTCCTGCTGCTGGCGCGGCAACCTCGTCAAGCCACGGTGGTCGAACTTGGTAAGCATTCCAAATCCAACAATAAGAGGCTCAAGACCTGCCTGATCCTTTCCGATGTGCGTTCTCCGCAAGGCTCCAAAAAAGAAATGTCCCACCAAAGCGGCAGATTGCTAGACTGAAATACTTAACAGCCCAGAGGTGATGGGTGACCTGTGAATGGGGCAACTGACTGTTGCGCCTGCTGCACTGGTGTGGCCCGGCTGCCAGAACCTGGCAGGCCATCCCTTAGCAACCCTGTCAACACCCCATGCTGCGCCGTAAGGTGTGAATGCTCCCTCTCGTTCTCTTGCCCGCGCTCGAGCAAATAGGAGCACTGACCACACGGACAGTTGACACAAATATGAACAACCGTCAATGAATTGCAGCACCATCTGGCATGGCAAAAAGCTTCATGAAAAAAGGAACTTGAGTGCAACTCGTCTGCAAAATGTGGGAAAGGTATGGCAAGAAAGGCATGCCTTCTGCATCTATAATGAGCCCATGCCTGCCCACACCTTCCCAGTCCCACATTCATTCCGCGCCTCCTGCTGCCGGCGCGGCAACCTCGTCAAGCCACGGTGGTCGAACTTGGTAAGCATTCCTAATCCAACAATAAGAGGCTCGAGACCTGCCTGATCCTTTCCAATGTGCGTTCTCCGCAAGGCTCAAAAACAGAAATGTCCCACCAAAGCGGCAGATTGCTGGACTGAAATACTTAACAGCCCAGAGGTGATGGGTGACCTGTGAATGGGGCAACTGACTGTTGCGCCTGCTGCACTGGTGTGACCCGGCTGCCAGAACCTGGCAGGCCATCCCTCCTCCAGCAACCCTGTCAACACCCCATGCTGCGCCGTAAGGTGTGAATGCTGCGCTCGAGCAAATAGGAGCACTGACCACAGGGACAGTTGACACAAATATGAACAATCGTCAATCAATTGCAGCACCATCTGGCATGGCAAAAAGCTTCATGAAAAAAGGAACTTGAGTGCAACTCGTCTGCAGAATGTGGGAAAGGTATGGGTATGGCCAGAAAGGCATGCCTTCTGCATCCGTCATGAGCCCATGCCTGCCCACATCTTCCCAGTCCCACGTTCAGTCCCCGCCTTCTGATGCCGGCGCGGCAACCTCGTGAATTCCAGACTGCTCAGGACCAACCAACCCCCACGGCGCTTGGCTCAAAAGAAGATCAACCATCTGAGAACCAGCTCAAATCAAACCCAGGGGACAAAATGAAACTTGTTACAAGGCTCAAAACAAGATCAACAATCATCAATCAAGGGACAAACTCATACCGCCCCTTTCGGTGTTCCCTTTGAAACTTTCCCTATTTTTTAAGCAAAGTAACCTATATAAAGGACGCCCATGTGGACCTTCCCTGAACTTTATTTGAGGTCATGAATCAGAGGTCCGGCATTCTTGCCCTGGTAAATGGAATAAACCATCTAAACCAGTGGAACCCATCTATTTTAAACAAACCAACTCCCCCACAACTTGGAAACCCGCCCAAAAGGACCCCGCCGTGGCCACCACCACGGTGGGGTTCGCAGGCTGCCGTCCGCCGCGGCCGCCGCTTCTGGCAGAACGCGAAGCGGAGAAATCCCCATGGACGCGAAATCCGGAAATCGCACCGTGAAAGTACACATCTATGTGTGTATATATATATATATATCAACAGGTAGATCCGTCCCGGGGGGGTAGCATATATGGTTATATGAATTTGTCTATTTGTTTGTTTACATTTACTTACACGTACTGTCGGTTGACAAAATCCTGCAATTCGTGCAAACCTTGCAAGACCACAACGTTCATTGGTATTTGCAGGGGATCGAATCAGAAACCAGGGTTTCGTAGGTCGAAGTGGATTTTGTCCGGCCACAGCGTGAAAAGCACATACCCAGCTGCCTTTCTTACTGTGGAATGCGTCAATTCTCTGAAGGGTGTCAACCCTGCGGGTTGGCCTCCAATCACGCACATGTACACCCAAACGCGAAAGTCCTTGCATTTTCGTGTTTTTCTTGAAAGTCCGCAGCCTGCCAGTAAAAACAACGCAACGAGTAGTCCCGGCAGGGTCCTTGCAACTGAGCCTTCCCTATTGGCACACGGCGCCCAAGCGTCTCCTAAAACTGCTTTGTTTGAGTACCACTACGGACGCAATCCCGATGGCACATCGCATGTTACAAGGCACTTAAACGCATTTTAAGCATACATGTTTAAGTACGAGTAAGAAGGCAATCCCCATGGCACATCGCATACCAGTTGGGACCAAGATGTTGCTTGACTATGTGTGTTTGCACGCCAAAAGAAGGCAATCCCCATGGCACATCGCGCCCAACAACATCGAAACAAGTCTTGCAAAAACAAGTTCGTGTGCTAGTACGAAGGCAATCCCCATGGCACATGCATACCCAAAGGCAACCAAACACATCTCAAAGACATCTTTTCGAAGCACAAAACTGAAGGCAACCCCCATGGCACATTGCATAATCAACCGCAATGTGTCTCCTAGAACTGTTTTGTCTGAGCGCCGCTACGGACGTGATCCCCATGGCACATCGCATATTGCAAGGCACTTCAGCGCATTTAAGCATACGTGTAAGAAGGCAACCAGCATGGCACATCACATGCCAGTTGGGACCGAAATGTCGCTTAACTATGTATGCTTGCTCGCCAAAAAGAAGGCAATCCCCATGGCGCATCGCATGCTCAACAACATCGAAACAATTCTTGCGAAAACAAGTTCATGCGCTAGTACGAAGGCAAGCCCCATGGCACACGCATACCCAAAGCCAACCAGATGCATCTTGAAAACATCTTTCCGAAGCACACAAATGAAGGCAACCCCCATGGCACATTGCATCATCAACCGCGATCTCCTAAAACTGCTTTGTTTGAGTACAACTACGGACGCAATCCCCGTGGCACATCGCATGTTACAAGGCACTTAGACGCATTTTAAGCATACATGTTTAAGTACGAGTAAGAAGGCAATCCCCATGGCACATCGCATACCAGTTGGGACCGAAATGTTGCTTGACTATGTGTGTTTGCACGCCAAAAAGAAGGCAATCCCCATGGCACATCGCATGCTCAACAACATCGAAACAAGTCTTGCAAAAACAAGTTCGTGTGCTAGTACGAAGGCAATCCAGCAAAGCAGTTTCAGGAGACACGTTGCGGTTGATTATGCAACGTGCCATGGGGGTTGCCTTCATTTTTGTGCTTCGAAAAGGTGTTTTCAAGATGTGTTCGGTTGCTTTTGGGTGTGCTTGTGCCATGGGGATTGCCTTCGTACTAGCACATGAACTTGTTTTTGCAAGAATTGTTTCGATGCTGTTGAGCATGCGATGTGCCATGGGGATTGCCTTCTTATTGGCGAGCAAGCACACATAGTCAAGCAACATTTCGGTCCCAACTGGTATGCGATGCGCCATGCTGGTTGCCTTCTTACTCATGCTTAGACATGTGTGCTTAAAATGCGTTTAAGCGCCTTGTAATCTGCGACGTGCCATGGGGATTGCGTCTGTAGCGGCACTCAAACAAAGCAGTATTAGGAGACACGTTGCGGTTGATTATGCAATGTGCCATGGGGGTTGCCTTCATTTTTGTGCTTCGAAAAGATGTTTTCGAGATGTGTTTGGTTGCCTTTGGGTATGCATGTGCCATGGTGAGCGCCGCTACGGACGCAATGCCCGTGGCACATTGCATATTACAAGGCGCTTAAACGCATTTGAAGCACACATGTCTAAGTATGAGTAAGAAGGCAACCAGCATGGCACATCACATACCAGTTGGGACCGAAATGTTCCTTGACTATGTATGCTTGCTCGCCGAAAAGAAGGCAATCCCCATGGCACATCGCATGCTCAACAACACTGAAACAATTCTTTCAAACACAAGTTCATGTGCTAGTGTGAAGGCAATCCCCATGGCACATGCATACCCAAAGGCAACCAAACATCTTGAACACATTTCTCGAAGCGCCAAATACAAGCAACCCCCATGGCACATCGCAGAACCAACCGCAACCGAGCACTGTTTAAACATATATATATATATGTAGTAGTAGTAGTAGTAGTAGTAGTAGTAGTAGTAGTAGTAGTAGTAGTAGTAGTAGTAGTAGTAGTAGTAGTAGTAGTAGCAGCAGCAGCAGCAGCAGCAGCAGCAGCAGGAGTAGTAGTAGTAGTAATAGTAGTAGTAGTAGCAGCAGCAGCAGCAGGAGTAGTAGTAGTAGTAGTAGTAGTAGCAGTAGCAGTAGCAGTAGCAGTAGCAGTAGTAGTAGTAGTGTAGTAGTAGTAGTAGTAGTAGTAGTAGTAGCAGAAGCAGTAGTAGTAGTAGTAGTAGTAGTAGTAGTAGTAGTCGTGGTGGTAGTAGTAGTAGTAGCAGTAGTAGGAGGTGCCTTGTGTTAAGTTTTTGGCAAGTTTACCCAGGAAAAAAACGAGTCCAAAAACGAGTCTAAAACGAGTCCGAAAAGAAAGAAAACGTGCAGCCGCAACCCACCTAGGCCTCAGCCTGAAAAGCAGGCCGTTGAAACCAACTGATGTGTTAAGCAGACTGTCGGCCTTAGCCTAATACGTATTACAAGCACTTGTTGAAGATACGTGTTTTTCAAGCGTGCGCCAGTGCGATTGGCCACCCAAAGCCCCGGCTTCCACAACGCAAGCTGTTCTAGGAATCTTGTTGAGGATGATTGCGTGTGCCAAGGCGGTTGGCCTCCCAAAGCCCCAGCTTCAACAACGCAAGCTGTTCTAGGAATCTTGTTGCGGATGACTGCGTGTGCCAACGCGCTTGGCCTTCCAAAGCCCCAGCTTCAACAACGCGAGCTGTTCTAGGAATCTTGTTGAGGATGATTGCGTGCGCCAGTGCGATTGGCCACCCAAAGCCCCGGCTTCCACAACGCAAGCTGTTCTAGGAATCTTGTTGAGGATGATTGCGTGTGCCAAGGCGGTTGGCCTCCCAAAGCCCCAGCTTCAACAACGCAAGCTGTTCTAGGAATCTTGTTGAGGATGACTGCGTGTGCCAACGCGCTTGGCCGTCCAAAGCCCCAGCTTCAACAACGCGAACTGTTCTAGGAATCTTGTTGAGGATGATTGCGTGTGCCAATGCGAATGGCCTCACAAAGCCCCAGCTTCAACAACGCAAGCTGTTCTAGGAATCTTGTTGAGGATGATTGCGTGCGCCAGTGCGATTGGCCACCCAAAGCCCCGGCTTCCACAACGCAAGCTGTTCTAGGAATCTTGTTGAGGATGATTGCGTGTGCCAAGGCGGTTGGCCTCCCAAAGCCCCAGCTTCAACAACGCAAGCTGTTCTAGGAATCTTGTTGAGGATGATTGATTGTGCCAATGCGATTGGCCTCGCAAAGCCCCAGCTTCAACAACGCAAGCTGTTCTAGGAATCTTGTTGAGGATGACTGCGTGTGCCAATGCGATTCATGTGTTAGTTGACTGAACCTTCTCATTATCTTGGCCAGAGGCAGTGTGCCATTGCGTTTTGTGATGGGGGTGGGCCTCAACATTCAACAGCGCACCTTCGCCAAACACTCCTCAAAGTATCCGGCCCCCCATGGCACACCAGACACTTGGCTTTGTGTACAGTGGGGGGCTGGGGTAGCACTTGCGTCGCCAGCAACATCTAAGCCTGCAACTTCTATCACCTCGAATCCTGCTGGCACACAGCTGAACAACACAAGGAACCAGACTCCCATGTGTTAGTTGACTGAATCTTCTCATTATCTTGGCCGGAGGCAGTGTGCCATTGCGTTTTGTGACGGGAGTGGGCCTCAACGTGCAACAGCGCCCCTTCACCAAACACTCCTCAAAGCATCCGGTCCCCCATGGCACACCAGACACTTGGCTTTGTGTACGGTGGGGGGCTGGGGTAGCACTTGCATCGTCAGCAACATCTAAGTGAAACGAGTGTACCCATGCGATTTGATTCAAAATGGCTTCATGCCACACATCATAAAAGACAGCATGATCATGACCCTAAATAGCTTTCCCCACTGGCACACTGCTTGCGGCGCGAGATCATGGCTTGCGGGGCGTGTAACCACAAGGACCCAGTAAGTGTTTTTTCAGGCGTGTGCCAATGCGATTGGCCACCCAAAATGCCTCAACATCACCAACTCAAACCGCGATCGAGGGAAGGTGTTTTCCATGTGTGCCAGTGCGTTCGGCCTACCCAAAAGACCTCAACTTGATCAATGAAACCATCTCAGGGGACCACGTTCAGCATGTATTTCTCTACAAAAAAGACCTCAATATCACGCAGCAATTGTCTCTTGAAAACATGCTAAACTAAACGCCACTGGCACACGGAGTTGCAACGACCCTACCGGATGCGTTTCGTGTGCGTATTACACGAAAAACATGCTGCCAAAACCAAACGCAACGACTTTCACAGGTGAGAGTACATATTAGGCTTATTCGGCAATGCATGATTGTTAACGAGACGAGCAACTCACAATGCAAAATATCATATTTCCCTCACAACTACACATGCGCTCACCAACGAACCAACCAACCAACCAACCAACCAACCAACCAACCAACCAGCCAACCAACCAGCCAGCCAACCGACAAGCAAACGACCGACCGACCAAGCGACCAAACGACCAACCAATCGAGCGAGCGACTGAGCGACCAGTCCAACGAACAAACAAACAAACAAACAAACAAACAAACAAACAACCAAGCACACAAGCAAACAAGCAAGCAAAACAAGCACATACACACAACACACTCAAGGACTTGATGATTCGCTTCATTTAAATACGCCAGGATCTCAGAACCATGTTTGCCATCAAACCTGAAGCACTAACTTCATTCAAACCCAAACCCCTCAAGCCCCCGGGCTTCCCGGTTTTGCCGTAGACCGCCGCGAAGTAGGCGGGGGGCGACAGCTCCACCTCTCGTAGGCGATTGGCTTCTCCGCAGGCGCGCGCGCGCGCGCGAGCGAGCGCGCGCAAAGCGCACCGCCAGGCCTTCTCGCCGCCGGCCGCCTTGCGCACGGCCTCTGCAAAGGCCACTTGGCCCGTGACCAGCACCTGGAGAGCAAAGACTGTGCCCGTTTGGTTCCCCAATGGGTAAGCTTGGTTCCGGCCCAAAAAATCACCTTGCCACTCCGCGCTCTGCCGGGATGCGGCTCTGGCCCACACCCACCACCGGAGTACATTGGCCAGTCAACGTGTCATGGCCCTTGTCCATAGCATTTTGCTCTATAGTTAACTGTGCCAGACTTGTTGCACGGCTTGTCTGGGTCCCCTCTGATGCTTCTCAACCAAGTACAATCCTGCTATGAAATGGCCAAGGGTTCTCGGCGTCTAGGTGCTGCCGTCTAAATGACACAGGACCAAAAAGAGGTCCGCCCCTCTCGGTTGGCGCCAAATCCCCCTGCAGGGCCTCATTCAGGTTCTGCGCCTGCGGTTCCCGCAGCACCTCCCCGAGCAAAGTGCCCAGAACCTGCCGAATGCGACTTGTCCTGCTCAAAGAATTCGACAAGACTCGGGCGATCTCAGACGAGCCACTGGCATGCTTTGCCGTCCATCTCTTCCCCGCCTTGGGCTCGTTTCCGAAGACCCCGCAGCCCACATCTGGGCACACAAGGACCTGAGCACCGGTTCTCACCGGATCGCGCGCTTCGCGCGGCCTAGCTGCACTGAGCCCTGCCTCCGCCCCCATCTCCACAGCTGCTGTGACCACGGCCCGGAACTTCAGCTTCACCTCACGAGCCCAGACAGTGCGAGCCACCCCGAAGTGGCCGGATCTTTCCGCATCCGGTTGACGAGAACCACGACTGCTTTACCCAGAGGCTCCTGGCTTCGGCTTCCAATGGAAGACCCAGACCCTCCATTGGACACCCCAGAGGCGGGGTCTCAAAACCTGGCGGTTGGAGGGCCCATAATGAATCGGGAGCGTCTGGGTACAGAAAATGGTCGACGCTTGGCCGGTGAAGTGCGTGTTTGCACACAACCGAACAAACAAAAACACAACCACGGCAACTCCCGCCCAGAACTATGGCCCCGCGCCTGCTGGCAATAAGCCTTGAAGTCGCGCGGGGCATCCAGCGGGCTGTCGCTGACTCGCGGGTTCATGTTGAACATGGCCACACCTCAGACAATGAAACGGGCATCAGGCTATCCTGAGTTTCACCATCGGCTGGCACGACTCAGCTGCCTCCTCCTTTGCACCCACATGTAAAAGCGCGAAAGGGTTTGAAACAGAGTTTCGGGATGGATAAAACAGGCCCTAACCCACCAACAAGAAGAGACCACCTTATCCCCCCGGTCCCAAGGGCAAAGCGGTTGCCCTCGGCCGGCACTAACACGAACCAAAAGGGGTGCCTCGTTGTAACAAGAAGAAACCAAGCAGAAGCGCAGCACAGCGCAGAGCAGGCAGGCAAACCAGCAGCAAGCAGCACCAAGCGAGCAAAGCAAGCAATAGCAGCGCACCTCAAACAATAGCCCGACCCACCTCCAGGACAAAGAACACCGCCCCAGGCACAACGGCCGCGTAAACACGAGGCCGGTGTGAAGGTGCGCCGTGATCTTTTCCCGACGAAATGGCGAGCAATGAATGCCAGGTGAAAAGCTTGAGCCAAAAGCCGCGTTGGGCTTCGGCATAAAACATGCTATGATAGAAGTACATGCCCCCAAAAACACCCCCCTCGCCTGTACAAAGAGAAGGAGTGAATTTGGAAGGGCGCATTGGCCATGTTGAAGTTGAAAAGCAAATAAAAAGAAAACAGAGCCGATTAGGCTACCAGGGTTCGCGGCCCCATACCCGGGCACTCATTGGTGCCCGGATCCCGCCACCACCCCGAATTACGGGTATGGGGCGGATTCGCGCCGGTAGCCAAATCAAACAAGAGAAAGCAAAAAGAAACAGAAACAAAGATTTAACTCCAGAATGGCAGGCATGAAATAAAATTACATTTGCAATGCAACCACAACGAACCGCAAGGTTCAAGTGGATTTAGTTCCTGAATTCATGATTTAGGCGCATTGGCCTACTGGTTGAAACATGGTGCTTTGACCACAAGACCTTGGTCTTTAAAGTAGCACCGTCTAGGCGCGCGATCACACAAAGACCTTCAGTAGGAACACCACCAGCTGCAATCAGCGGTTCAGGTCCGAGTAGGACTTCACCGGCAGCGGTGCAGCGCATCCGTGATCCTCACCGCAGCACCTTGATGAGTTCCATCTCCAGCAGCAGCAGCGGCCCAACGCTTGAAAACTTTGAACGGCACGTCCCTCCCGATTAGGGTGGACCGCGCAAAAAGCACCTCATTCGGGCGCACACTCGCGCCATCTGTCCTCCAGACTGTCCGTATTAGGAGCTCGACTGGAGGGTACGATGGGCTTTCCTTTGCGAGAGCACCCGCCCAGGTCGCTACCTCGACACTCGTGCACTTGTGGATCCCGTATAGGGCCTCAAGTAGCGTTGAGATCAGAGTCATTGACATCCAACCTCCCAGAATGTCTGGAACCGTCCCAAACAAGAAGGGAGGCTGCTCACCGGGCTTCACGTTTAACCGCGTAGGGTCAGTGTTGCCCGACAAAACTTCTAGCAGCATTTGCGATTCCCTGGAGCTTCGTCCAACAAACGCCGACACATCCCTAATTTCGGGGAAAAAATGGAAGATGTCATTTCCGGCAGGACAGGCGATTCTGCCTGCTATCCCGCCCTGTGCATCAATCACAACCTCTTCACCCTCGTATGTGAGGTTGTAGGTGCTCGTAATCGGGCACACACCGGGCTTAGCCATCAGTGCCTCTTCCAACGACGCACCTGTTGGGAGGACGCCCTGTACGTGCGACTTGGTACCTATGGGACCAGTACTCGCAGACATAAGCCGATAATTTTCGGCACGAAAGAATGGAAAAAGGTTCTTCATCCTTTCAATTTCTTCTTCAGTGGTGCGCCACGCCTTTGCCTCATAGTAAGGCGGCTCCTGCTTTGAGGGCACTAGGTCGCGGTCACCCATTGATGAGAATTTGTCCACATATGGACCCATTCCATCATCGTCTACATAACTCTCGTGATCTTCATCCGAGACGTACTCCTTGGGCGGCTCGCCCAGAGCGTCCAGATCGACCTTACCAAGGTCGACCAACGCCGGAGAATCCAGGACTCTCTGGATCCTCATGAGCTCGTTCCTAAACTGCTCAAAGCCTCCGGCCTTGTCAATCACGGAGGTCGGCATTACGCCCTCCCATGATTCCGGAAACATGCACACGTTCGTAGGGGAAAACTCATCATCGGAAATATCCCGATCACGCTCCCGTACGTCGCTGATTAGCGTCACGTCCAACGAGCCGCCTAGGGCCTCGGGACGCGACGCTTTCGCCGGATGCGGCTTTGCGCTCTTTGACGCTACAGCAGCCTCATTGGCCGCTTTGTCCTTCTTCTCGTCACCCTTACTCCCCTCCTTGTCCACATCCATTTCGGATGGCTGTGCGCTCCCCCCTGCTCTGCCCATTGGCGGATCAGAGGGTTGGACAGGGGATTCCTTTGTACGGGCTTTGCCGTAATAATGCCCTGGGATCTGCACGTTCCCAGTGGAGCCACCGCCAGCCTCTCGCGGACGCTTGGCGGTGTGTGCCGACCCAGTATGGACAGCAGGCGCCGATCGCCTAGGAAGGCCCTTACTGGCCGACAGAGATGGAGGAGGTGGCTTCATTTTGGGAGCCGGCTCCGCCTTGGGCTCCGACTCCGGTTCAATTACGCAGGACTTGAGGTCGAAACTTTCAGACCTCAAAAGGCCCGCGCAATAGGAACGGAAAACGTCCTCAACTTCCCGAGCAAGGAACTCGGGATGATCATCCTCCCTCGGAGGTGTTCTCCAGCCGTCGTATCCATTGAGCAGATTCCTACCCACGATTTCATTGAATCGATACGTGCCCAAACCGGCATAGCGGTTGGCAGCCCGAAGAACATTACAAAATCTTTCGACCTTTTCGGTCGCCGCAATGGCCGCAGCCATCTGAGGGTGAATATACCCAGTTTCAATCATGCATCCCGCGGCTTCGCGCAAGCATGATCTTGCACGCCACAGATTCGCGGCGGCCTTGTAAAAGTCGCAGTATTCAACGTTCCACGTTGCGTCCTGCGCGCTGAGCTCATCTTCTCCGCTTTGGGAGTCGGGCAGAGTGAGCCCCAACCGGACCTCTCGACCGCGGAATACGTCGGCGGAGATCTGGTTCGAGTTCGGCTGATCCTCCAGCGGAGGACGGGGAACATATTGTTTCCCTGAGCCGACACTAGACTCATTTGCCGATTCCCTGTTTGGATGCCTCCCTTCGGTCTGCATCTGATTAAAACGTGCGACCAGGTCCGACCGAGGGCCAATCGACAATGGCCCAAGGTTCTCCTCAGCCCAATCAGCAAGCGCTTTGGCTCCCGCGTGATGAATTTCATCGGCATTCATCGTGTCAGACATAATGGCCTTTGACAGGAAATCCCAGTCGTACTCGCCGAAGCGACGATCAGTTGCTGAAGCATTGTCCAGCAGCTGGAAAAACTCATCCTCTGACAGGCCTTGCCACAGAGGTAGAGCGAGGGCATCCTCAATGGAATTAGCCTGAATAGGGTAAAGAAGGCGCCTTGGCCAGGCCCCATTCCTCCACGCCGCCAACGCTGGCGGGTAACCTGCTCTCCGGAACAGGTAGTGCACTGCGATGCAGGCATCCGCGCTTTCAGCGGGCGCATCGGGTCCACCATCCCCACCAGTCCCGCTCCCATCCATAGGATCGTCGCGGCCCGGGAGCTCATCGGCAGGGGAGGTAGGGGAATCTCCCTCCGCCCCATCGCCGTCCCCATCATTGTCTCCACCCGCAGCGCCTTGGCTGGGTGAAGCCCTTTTGGCCCCGCCTGCATCCGCAGGTTCGGGCTGTACATCCTGACCAACGGGTTTGGATGCTTCGGGATGGGAAGCCATCCCCATCGACGCATCGGTCGACAGGGACGGAGTGCTGTCTCCTGGTTGAGGATTATCCCCACCAGCGACATCTGGAACGCGGTCCCCACGCTTAGGTGGCGGCTCCGCCTGGTTAGGCTTCGCCGGCTCAGACAGACTAGCCGGGGGGCTCTTCACTGCCTTCCGCGGTGGAACCTCGGGCCGAGGGTGCGTGATCTCGCTATTCGCGGGAGCGCATCCCCCCGAACCCCCATCGGTCGGTGCGTCAGCACCTGCCGCTTTAGGCACGGGTGGGCCCGTGACCTCAGGTGCTTTGACCTCGGGTCCTTTAGCACAAGGAGCGGCACCCTTTGGCGGAGGGCCAGCGGCCGAAGACAGGCATGGCAACGACCCTCCCACCTTAGGTGGCGCGCAGCTGGGACCCCTTGCGGCCCCACCTCTCCATCTGTTAGCGGCTTCGCGCTTGGACAGGGATGGAAAGTCATCAGAGTACGCGTCCTTGGGAAGCTCGGGAGGATCAGGCTTAGCCTTCAACAACTGCTTCCCGGTAGCAGGCTTCAAATCTACTCTGTGGCCGCCTGTTTTAGACGGACCACCAGTCGTGGTCGGACTATACCCGCACGCCTGCGCTGGCTTTGCAGGTATTGTCCCCCTCTGATTGCCGCAAACAGCCGGCGAGAGACCGCGACTTGCGGCTGACTGGCCGAAATCGGCCATTGCTTGGCCCAGCCTCTGCCTCCCCGTTGCGGGCGGCGTCGAGGACCGGACGCGCTGAGCCATTGTCTGTGGCCCATTTCCCGCGTTGGGGCGAGGAGCAGACTGCTGCTCAGACGCTCTTGCATCGGTCGCGGCAGGCGCTTTGGCCGACGACACACGGCTTGTGGCGCATGGGCCACTCGACATCGTTCTAGGAGCAGAGATTACCTCCGCCCATGGCGCATCCTCAGATGAGGACCACCGGTCGACCGGTGTGAGGCCTGCCCCGACTCCGCACTGCTTCGCAGCGCTCAGATATGACTCCGATGGTTTCATCAGAAGCTCCTGTTCTACCAAGAAATCCAGAGCAAGGGCCAGGGCTTCCCGGACCTCGTCACTCATTGAGTACTCACGCCTCAGCAGACACACCAGGTCGGTGAACGCCGAGACAAGACCCATAAACTGGTGTCCGCCTCTCTCGAGACCGACAACGCCGC